TTAAATAACATCAGTGCTTATATGCTTTCATAGTGGATACTTTTATACAATTTTGGCCTTCGGATTTTTTTCTTCCCATCCCAACTTGAATGCACCGTCTGCGCTGTTGCTGCCTGCAGTCTGGAGACAAACCAGACAGAACTGAATGTCAGTCAGTCCCTCTTGCGCCTCTACGTTATGCAACTCAATTATTGAGTCCAACAAGCCTAACTCACACTACTTGGACTTTGCTCCCCAAACAAATCCACCTTTGCCGCGCCAATCTGTCAAATTTCTAGAATTTCCCCCCCAAATTATTCCACGCTCTGGTTATTTTTACTCATTTGACTTTTGAACTCTGGGCTTCAAGACTGGTCTTCGGCCTGTGCAGAATGCAAACCCTTTGGTGACCTTTTAGGCTGAACTCAGACCTTTAATGCAGATGACTCCAGCCCAGGAAAATGACCTTTTACCAAACCAATAATAACATGCAGCGTCTAATATAGGTCCTCGTAACCCCAAAGATAAAGTTACATTGTGAATGTCAGTGTCTTGACTTTACTGTACTCTGCTTGTCCCAGGCAGGCTGCTGCAAGAAAAGTGCTGCAGAGTATCAACTGTATTGTAATCGTTGCTTAAATTTATTTTAATTATCTTAAGCACAACGTTAAGTTATTGAAAACTGATGTCCAAAGGCATTGTCACATTGAGGTTTAAATATTAAACATTTCTGTAAGTATTAATACTTGCAAAGCTTTAATAATTTTAGTTACTTTTGTTTTTAATTAAAGATGTACCAATTTGTCTAAATAAGCCAGTCATTCTTTGCATTTAATGGATGGCTGACTGATTAAATATGAAAAACTACTCCTGAAAGAACTTCTGCAGTTTTTGGTCAATGATTGAATTAACCTTGATGCACTTAGTTAATAAAAAAAAAAAAAAACAATCCAGTGAAGTCTACGGGCATACTTTGAGTCATAAATGGAGATAATGTTCCTTTATTTTCTGTTGCAATAATAGCTGCTACCTCTGTCAACGAACCTGCAGCACATTTGTCCCACTCTGTTATGTGTTGTATTAAAATAACTATTCTCAATCTACAGGTTGTCTTCAACATTAAATGAAGATATTCCTCCATGCTACAATTTAATTATTTGAAGTGCATCACACTGTCATGTTTATTTTTTGGACTAAAACTGGAAAAAGTTCCCATTTTAATGTATTTAATGGGAATTTATGCTCTCTAGCAGATTGGTGAATCTTTAATTTGGATTCTTAAATGCTCATTGCTCAGAAAATTATTATTTTTGCATTCATTTTTTGTAGGATAATGGGAGCAAAGGTGCTACTTTGTGTTCCATATTATAGATTATAAACTTGTGTTTTCTGTTTTAACAGAGGTGGTGTGCGGTGCTCCATCCATCTACCTGGACTTTGCCAGGTCCAAACTGGATGCCAAGTTTGGAGTGGCGGCTCAGAACTGCTACAAAGTTCCCAAGGGTGCCTTCACTGGGGAGATTAGGTAAAGAGAAGAAACCAGCTGATTTTCTTCAGCAGAGCTTTAGTTTTGGTTTTGTCCTGAACATTTTCCCACCTGCAGCCCTGCGATGATCAAGGACTGCGGCGTGAACTGGGTTATCCTGGGACATTCCGAGCGGCGACACGTCTTCGGTGAGAGCGATGAGGTAACATGGTGATATCTGACTTTCTTACAATTTAGACTTGTAACATTTTAATTAAAGACTAAAGCTGCGTTCACACAGCAGGCAAATGCGACCCAAATGCGCTTATTTTGTTTTTTTACCCATATGTGACCTATATCTGGCTTTTTCACTGCAATTTGAACAACACAATTCTGATGTTTTCACCCCAAAATGTTAATATGAGATAAAAGCACAATAAGCTTGGTGGCCCACCAGACTTATTGTACACCAGGGGAAGCCCTGAGGGAAAGACTGTGCAAAAAATCAGAATTGAGAATTAATATCTTTTGTGTGAACGTAGACAAATTCTACTTTCTTTTGTTTTTCTTTTTTTCTGCGTTATTAGCTGATTGGTCAGAAGACTGCTCATGCTCTGGAGAACGGTCTCGGCGTGATCGCCTGCATCGGCGAGAAGCTGGATGAGAGGGAGGGAGGCATCACGGAGAAGGTGGTGTTTGCCCAGACCAAAGTCATTGCAGGTATGCAGCTTCCAGGACAGAGTCTGAGTGGTGCAACTCGTGTTCAGATAGAGAGGGAGGGTTTGGAAATATGTCTGCTTGCGCCATACCAAGTCTTATCTCATTGACAGACAACGTAAAGGACTGGAGCAAGGTCGTGCTTGCTTATGAGCCTGTGTGGGCTATTGGCACCGGGAAGACTGCGTCTCCCCAGCAGGTAAATATTGGAAAAGCTGAATGTTTCCCCACCGAGGGCCGTGCTGTGTGGCTTCAAACACGATTTGTGTGTGATATATCAGGCTCAGGAAGTTCATGAGAAACTGAGGGCGTGGCTGAAGACCAACGTGTCTGATGCTGTAGCCAACTCTGTGAGGATCATCTATGGAGGTGAGCTGTCTGAATTATAATTGAAAACGTTATTAACAAGTTGTGACATTACATGCTTTTGGCCCTCTCTGCTGGAGGGCCAAAAGCAGCTCTCTGGACAATAACTGGCATTGGTTTTAGCTGTCAATATAATGCGCTAAATCTCGAATGTTTGCCTGATATGTAAAAGAAAAGGAACGCAGTGCTTTGCTACTAATTGTCAACACTATAAAAACTAGAAAAATGTGTCTAAGAGTATCTCATTTCACTGGTCAATAAAAAGTTTTAATTTGAAAAAGAAAAGTAGCAGGAGAGAGGTTTATAAGTTATGCTAGCTTGACTTTGACAACCTTAACATGTAGATATGCTGTGGAATTCGATGTGTTCGATGTCAGTTAAAAATAAGGTGACCAACTCACCAGCTTTCTGACAGGTCATCAACAGACCTCAGTGTTTAAATTAGCTAATCAACCTTGATCACTCACTAATGATCACAAAATAAACATCAAGCCTGAAAACTGTAACGGACTCGATGATCTGTTCTTTGTGTGGGAATGTTTTTTGTGTGTTGAATCGTTATACACCAGTGGAGCTGTTGTCAGTCAGTTACATATGGAACGTAAAAGAATCGCCGTTTTGCCCTCCAGCGTTGTGCGTGAAATTTTCCGGATGTAAACTATAGCAATGTGTTTGGGCTAATTGTTGTACATTATCCTCCTCATGCATCAATGCTGCTTCTCAGGTTCAGTAACTGGTGGTACCTGTAAAGAACTGGCCTCCCAGAAGGACGTGGATGGTTTCCTGGTCGGCGGAGCCTCTCTCAAGCCAGAGTTCATCGACATCATCAATGCCAAGGCGTAAAGACCCAACTGGATCGTCTCCCTCAACTCGCAGTGCTTCTTCCCCTCTCTCTGTTCAAGCCATTTGTGTGATGTTGTCATTCCCTTGGTTTTTGTCCTCCTTTTTTATCTTTTGGTATATTTTCCCATAAAGAAAAAAGGGACAGGCTGACATGTGCACTGGTGCTGCACTGATGAGTCTACTGAGAACGGCCTGCGTGCAAACCTGACCTCCACACAAAGTGCTCAAGCTGACTACCAGATGTGGACGCGCAGTCCCCTGCCTTTACTTGAAAGGTTTACGAACTTCTTCTGTGATTGTTTTTAGGATAAACTGTGTCACTTTGTTTTTACTCTTGTGTCTCTTTGTGTGATTGTGAAGATCTGTGGCTTTTTTCCCTCACTGTAGATGTGCACAATCTTTTTTTTTTTATCACTCATTTTACAGAGAGAAAAGTGTCCATTAACATATTGGCTGTATTGTGTTATGACCCACAGTTAGAAGGAAAACTATACAGAAATATTCTAATAAACGGTTTCAAGGATACTTCTGTCTCTCTGTTTTGACTTCTACCTTGACTTTATAATTAAATATTTAGAAATGATTAAAAGTAATTTAAAAGAACGCCTTGTCTGTATGCAGTGTTGCTATGAAGGCAGGGGGGTTGATACTCCTGACATGTTGAACAGAGAAAGCGTCTAAAAATAGAACTGACAATACCCTGAAGGATTTCACTGCTATTTTTATCCTAAGACTGAAGCAAGAAACAACAAGGACCAAATATGAATTAAATGATCTTATTGTGTTGTTTTTAAGTGGATTATTGTATGGAAAATGATTATTTCATCCCAGAATACTTAAAAATGCAACTTAAAGTCTTGATTATGTAGAATGAGTTTACAGTTTATCTTTGAATAGCTTATAGCTTCATTGCACTAGATAAAAATCTGTATTTACAATATGTTATAGATGTAGGTAGAAAGTCACTTTGTTTTGAGGCTGGGGGTGTGACATTTAAATATTTATTGGTTGTATGCGAGTCATTTTGTAATATATTTTCTTTTAGGAGTAGTTTTACTAGTTTTTGCTTTTACTTGAGTAATTTTATTAAGTGTATTTACTCTTGAGTAAAATTTCTTGATACTCTACCATCTCAGTAACTTCACTGAATGAAGAGCAAACACATTTTAACCAAAAATTCACCGGATAAATACCCACACTTACAGTTTTTGTTGAAGTTTTATATGAAAGAAACCGATTAGGAAATTTTCCTTTTGCTTGATTTAAAAAAAAAAATTTTGTTGCTAATATAAATTATTGTCACTTCTGTCCATAAAATACTAAAATTTCCATTTAACTTTATATTTTGGTTAAATATTAAATTACGTCAGTAATATATTAAATGGCTACTTTTTACTTCTACTTGACTAAAAATATGTGAAGTGGTGCTGCTTTTACTTTAGTACAATTGTTGGTAACTCTACCCATTTCAACTTTTTAATTGAATGAGAAACATTTCATTTCCCTTTGGGATCAATAAAGTATTTTTGATTTTCATGTTTTCCCACTCCAGTCCACCAGGGGGCGGCAGTGTTTTCACGTTCTACATCGTGGCGTGACTCTCCGTCTCACGTCAGTGTTTACAAGCGAAGCGTAACGTTCACGGACCCGCAGAAATCCGTTTCACTCTCCCCGAAGATCCTCCAATCTTTTCAGAAAAATGCTTCCTCTTAGAGTTTTCCTTAACGAGAGACTTTCCGCGGTAGCGGAGGAGATTTTAGGAGCCGTGGAGAAGACAATAACGGTGTACCAGGAGGAGATTTTACGCTCCAAAGATTTAGAAATCAGGCAGCTCAGGATGCAGCTGAAGCTCCTCCATTCAGGTATGTCCTGGTCTCATTCTCATGGAAACCATGTGCCATGCGAAGTGTGTTAAAATGAAATTGTTCTGGCGTGTTTTCGTTTTGTAGAGCCTGAGTCGGACAATTATCTTGAAACCGAGCAGCTGCATTCTCCTCCCCCTCCTTCTGCTTCTCCTTCTGTCCAGCCCCATCAGTCACCCCCTGCAGTGGCTGCTGTCCACGAGGAGGAGCAGCAGCAGGGAGGGCAGGAAGAGGAGGAAGTCTGCTGCGTTGATCAGGAGCTCCCGGAGACCTCACAGGGCAAAGAGGAGCAGGAGCAGCCGCGGGGAGACGCGCTCAAGCGGCACTTCTGGATGGTCCACGAACCCGCCGAGAACCAGGACGATCCGGAGTCAGAGGCGCAGGAGTTCATCTCACCCCACACCGGCCTGCCGACCACTCTGCACGAACAGGCGCTGCACTTCCAGCAGTTCCTCAGCAGCAGCAGCAGCAACAACGGCGGGGGGAACAGCAGCGGCGACGAGAGCAGAGACAGGCCCTACATCTGCTCCGTGTGCGAGAAGCGCTTCACCAACTGCTCCCACCTGGCGGCCCACATCAGGACGCACACCGGGGAGAGGCCCTACATGTGTGACATCTGCAGGAAGACCTTCATCACCACAAGCGCCCTGAACAGACACCAGACCATTCACACCGAGGGGAAGCGATATATATGCGCCTTCTGTGGAAAGTCCTTTAAATGGATGGAGTCTCTAGGCAGACATGTGAGAAGCGTTCACAAGAGTGAAAATGTGCAAGTAAGAGATCCGCATCAAAGCTGCAGTATGTGACTTTTGTTGAAAATGTATGTATTTGTCAAATCTATAACTACAGTTTATGAGATCATTTGTGATAAGAAAAATCGATGAACTCCTGATCTACTATTGCTGTCTGAAGAAATGCACCGCCCCTGATCACAAACAGCCAATCAGCGCTTTCAAATATGTCAATGGAGGAAAAACAGCTTACCTTCCGTGGTTATGCTAACAAGGTTGAGCATTCATGTCAGTGTTTGTTTTTGTGACCTATAACGCGGGAGCAGCATGTACATGAGCTTGATTGGCAGCGCTTAGATCCTCCTCCTGCCTCTGATTGGTTGTTTCTGACTGAGCTGTGTATTTCTGAAGTTAGTACTGGGAGCAACATAATGATAATTTCAACAACTGTGTAAAAACCTTGAAAGGTGTAGTTATTCTTCAAATACATGTCCACGTATGAATTAATTATAAACTATATAGCTGGTATTCAGAATGTTAGTAAAGTGTGATTTACTGTATGTTGTACTGAATAGGCCTGGATCCTTTTAAGCCTTGTATAAATGAATAATTGGTATCAAACTGATTGTGTAACATTTTTACATCATGAAGGGTCCTTGTATTATTTCAGAATAAAAATTAAAAGTCATCATCTTTTATCTCATTTTCATGCTGCAGATTAAAAAGAACATCCCACTATGCGCCAGTAGGGGGCAGTAGCAGCTTTTCATTCATAAATCCTATGAATCTGAAGAATTTGGCACATTTAATATAATCTTTGTCCAAGAGTGTGGATTTATTTTCTCAGTGAAAATGTCAATGTTCTCATTCTGCTGCAAAAACTTTTAAAGATCCCTTCTCTTTGTTTATGTCACATTTAAAAATCTAAATATGAAACCTCCATCAGTTCACTTATTGTTTTTCTTCGGCGGTAATATAAAAGATAACCTGAATAAATGTGATTTTTAAATGTATTAGTAAAAAAATATTCAGCAAAAAAAAAGGATATCAAATATTTAAAGTAAATTCACAACTATGCGTTGTTTGGTGTTATCACAAAAACAATGAAGGGAGGCTGAGTGAAAATTAACAGCAGAGAGAAATAAAGAGGGAAAAATAAGACTGGCATAAACAGTAAACAGAAAGTAATACAATAAATTAAAGAAAATGAAAATAAAGCCCAAGAAAAATGGAGAAATGACCAAAACAGAAATAAATCTCTAACACATAAACATCATGATACGTATTTATTTAAGAGAAAACAGAGAGAATCCACACATCTGACAAAGAATATGCAAACTCCTGCAGAAAAAAACTCCAGGCCGGGATTTGAACCTACAACCTTTTAGCTGCAGCAAAAACACAAAATCTTAACAAGTAATTTTAGTTTAGTTCCTAATGCAAATATCTTAGTGCTCTTGCAATGACTTTCAAGTAACTTTACACCAAGATCAAGGAGTTTCTTTTAACTCATTAATTATTTAATGTTGATGAAGACAAATACTCATTAACAGATAATTTATCTTAAAACAAGACAATTTTTTTTATTTTTTTGTGACTTGTGGACTGATTTTGATGCAGATGGTGACATTTATTTATAATAAGTGTAAAGTTAAAATAACAATGCAAAGAATAAATTTTTTTAATAGTAAATAGAACCAAGAGACTTTTACTGCCTCGTCCAATCTAAATCATCAAACTTGGATAAAAATAAAAAGCATTTTGACAGGAAGTCACCCAAGTCCTGGCAACAACAAAAAAATACCCCTATTAAAACCAGATGGAAAATAATGTTTGCATTTTTGGATCTACAATGAAAAACATAAAAAATTGACTACTTAATTTGCTTGATTGTGTTTTTTGAACTTTTATATTCTTGGCCTGGTAGTACTTTTGACTCAATAATTTTGGCCCATGTGACAAAAAATGTTTGGACATTATTTACGCTATTTTTTTCCTACTTGTTTCTTTTTTATTTTCTTTTTCTTGTAACTTTAAGATCCACTGGCATAAATGTAAATACTTATTTCCTCCCATCTCTGGAAATTTGGACCGAGACTATTCAAGCTTCTGTGCAAAACGTTTTAATTGGCGTGTCATGTTAACAACAGTGGCCTTGGAAGCTGTAAAAGTGTGACTTTAATTATCTTATAATACAAGACAGATCCTAATGGCTGGACTTGTTTGATTTTCACAAATGAAAGTCACATGTTGAGACCAGATGCTCAGGCAAAACATTTTTTAGTGCCATGTTTTCAATCGAGATGTTTTCTTTTGTTTGTTTTTTATTTTGTAGAATTTAATTGATACCAGATAAATATTGTGTTTTGAACTTTTCCAACTGTCTATATATGTAACGTTTCTGCATAATTAAAGTGCAACTGAGATAAAATACTGCAAATCTTTTTCTGAAAACATGCAAAACTAGATTAGAAAACAATGAAATAGCAAATGATGCAATGACATCAGCTTCAATGTTTTCCTCATTTCTCTCAAATAATTATTGCGTCATAGAGAGTTTGATGTTAAAATTCAGCAGAAGCTTTGCAGACGTATTGGTGAGCACTACTCAGTAACACGCCGCTAAAAATTAACAACAAAAAAATTAATGGACCAAATCTGTGCACTTGGCTTGAGAAACAAAACAAAAACGAAATAAAAACATGGGAAGTGCAAGAATCATATAAATGAGCTTGCAAAAGCAAGCACGCCCAAACAGAGTTTTGTCACATTTCAACCACATTTTAGTATTTTATTTTATTTTATTCCAAGAGCAGCACAAAGTAGAGCCGAGTTTTTAAGTGGATAACAAAGGACAGGCAGCGTTGTTTAATAAACCTCCTAACTGTGAACTGATTTTGTATTCAGCTGTTAAAGATTCCTACAAACTTTCCTCTTCAGAATTTTAGATTCTCGTTCCAAGATAATTTTTTGTTATTGTGGATATTTAATTTGAAAACATTCTCTCTTTTTCCCCCCTAAAACGCTGAAGGAACACAATGTGGAAGCTGGCTTTCGATTCGTCCATGTGGCAAAATCATATTTCACTCATTTTTCACTTCTTGAGCAACTTTTGTTAGATAAACGGTGTAATGCTTCCAATTCAGGTCTGGATTATCCCAGATTAAGTGCTAATCCTCTGTGCTATATCTAGTTTGATCTATGATACCTTCACTCCAAAATGTAGGATTTGTTTTTATTTGTTTGGCTTCTAAACTGACTCCAGTTCAAGGTTTCCAGTCTAACTGGGTCCATTTTAGAAAATAAATGAACTCCAAACCATCTTGTGACGGCGAGTGAGATTAACTGTTTGACATAAACTACAGAATAAAGGTCGGTCATAAATCATGTACATAATCCTCATTTTTCAGAAAATTAAGTTCAGATTCAAGATTTTATCTTTTAGATATTAATAATTAATTAATAATTGTAATCTGATTTATATCCAGTTATTTATCAATCAGTCCAAGTTTGGTACCATGAACATGAATGTGAGCTGTTTGGTTTGAAATCGTTGAATAGCAAAGTCTGAAAAAATTAACTTTTTTCAATTGTTATTTTTTAAAAACTTGGACAAAATATAAAAATAAACACTTTTCTAGACTTTTTAATGCTTCAGGAACTTTGTTTTTATAGTGATGACTCTGCTGGCTTTAATCTTTCCATTCTCCTTTACAAAACACTTCAATCAGATCAGATTGTGAGCATCTATGAACAGGAGCTTTTAAGTATTGCTAAAGATTCTTAATTTGATTTAGACTTGGACTTTGACTAGACCAATTAAGATGTGATTTCAACCATTTTACTCTAGTTCTGGCTGCATGTTTAGGTTTGTTTTCCTGCAGAAAGTATCAAGTCTTCCCAGATGCTCTGAGCTTTTCTTGTTCAGCTTTTGACTCTGGATCAGAGCTTTATATACATGCAGAAGCAGAGGATGATTAAATGGATGCAGGTCCGGGTCCAATCTGAAAAATGGAGCTGTAAATGCAGAAAAGAAGAAGCTGACTCAACAGGATTAAACAGAAAATAAAAAAACTACGACAATAATGATTGCCTTGCATCTGGACGTTAAAAACATTCGACGTCTTTGACCTTCACCTCCTCCTCCATGTCGGAGAAAGAAAAAAAAATACGACTGATGATGTGCTAAGAATAAAACCCCAGATGTGATTTCACCAGAGGGGGTAAAAATGAGATCTGTCCTGCAGGAAGGCGCTTTACATTATGTTGACACACTTTTTCAAGGTGACTTTAAATGACACAAACCCCACAGAAAAGACGAAACGCCCAGAAGCAGCAGCAGCGTGAAGGAATGGAGCTGCAGATTCTGGGACGTATCAATAAATGTGATCTGTGGGGCGGCTGCGAAGGCCGCATTTCTGCAGGGAAGAGATTCCTCTGGTCGGTCACACACACACACACACACACACACACACACACACACACACACACACAACACACACACACACACACACACACACACACACAAAACCCCGAGCCTTCAGCAGCATCAGTAAATCACTCCTTTCAGCTCCTCCCTTCTTTCTCCTTCTCCCCAAATTTCCCTCTTTTCTCCGTTTTTCTTTCTTTTTTCCTTTTTTACAGCGCAGTCAGGAATGCTGGCTCTACAGGGTGGCTGCTGCTGTTGCTGCTGCTCACTGGAGCGACTCACCTCCCATGTCTCACACTCATCCCATGTGTCTCTTATTAGCTACACTCACCCGAGAGCGGGAGGGATGGAGGGACGGAGAGAGGGAGAGGCTGGTGCAGAGGGGGAGGAGTGGGAGGAATTTGATATGCTTTGTGCACGAATGACTTGTATAAAACAAAAGACGGGGCAAAAACTCTGAAACACACACCAGGACTCGGGAAACTATAGCAAAAAAAGAGATTATAATTTATTCCCAGATTTTTTGTTTCTTTTGCCCTCATTTGCATCTTGTTTCACAAGGTAAATTGAAAATAAAAAATAAAAACCGACCGCCATACCATGAAAATGTAAAAAAATAATACAAATAATATGTGTTGTATATATAATTATATCATTATCAACAAACGGACGACATTAATCATAATAACAATACTATCATCATAAACAGAAACACTAAAATTGCTGGTCTCATGCATATCGAACGCCCCTCGGATACAAAAGAGGGGAGGATTTACTAAAAGGAGAACCAAAAGCTCCACCGGTTCAGAAGAAGCGCCTAGCTACATGCAACGACAGAAAAGAGACTCATGTACACATTCCTTCTGGCATCAAGTATTTTACAACATACTGTACTTCACAATCCTCCTCCCCTCCCAGCTAATATACTGTACAGAGCACGATACAAAACAAGGTTAATACAGGGAAACGTTGGGACTCTGGTGCAGTTTGCAGGGACGATGTGCAACATTTTCACACCTTCTTTTGTTAATCCTTCAAAATGTTCCCGTCCAGGTTCAGTTTGATAAGTTCCCTCTTTGTTTTCAGTGCTTTTCTTCTTCTTTTTTTTTTTTGATTCAGTCTGTTCTTGCACAGATTCACGTGTTTAGTTTCTACTTCTTGCCCGAGCCGCTCTGCATCGTGTCCCCTCCCTCACAGGGTCTTGTCACTCTCTTTCTTCAGGTGACTGAAAGATTAAAAACACAAGAAGAAGAAGACATGAG